ACACTTTCAGGCAAACATGACATTTCAGAATAAACAGAAAAGAAAACTTGCCGAGTGTGCCGCTGGCAGGATCGTAGCCAAGAACATCGACAGATGTGAGATAGAGAATCGACGGTTGGTAGGACTTGGCTAAAAATACCATCTTAATATAGGAACAATTACGGTAGCGCATTTCAGCGAGTCTAGAAAAAAATTCAAAGACTCTGCTAAGGTATTTTCACACTACATACAATACCTTGTTCAATCGCCGAAATGTGATACAAATTTACATTCCTAACTTAGTCATGACTTGTTCTTTAAATTCTACTAGTTTTTCAATGTCTCGGCTATAAAAAATTTCGACCTAGATCTCAGGTAATGGTGCTCGACCGTCGAGTTCTGGTTGAAAAACCAGGTCTGGAAATGGAACGACGCGACTTGTTGGGAAACCTAATAGTGTAATGTTAGAAGAGGTCATGCATAAGTAGAGGGTACATCATTGATTGATTTCTCCCAAGGGAAGATAAAGTTAGAGATAGTTGTCGGTTTGGTCAATTTTTGTCGGCTGGACCTCCCATTTCGCAGGCCTAAAATTTGAAAACCCTGGAACAGAGGTGGAAGAGAACATAGCATCTTGTAGAGCAGACAATTCTCTTTCGAATGGTATATGACCGATGTAAAAGCATGGGGATTTAGATGAAAATTTTTTGGTTGAAAAAAAGCGACACTACTTATGAGACAACCTAATAATAGACGCAAGTTTTCTCGCTGCTCCCACCGTCTTCAGAGTATGACATCATATGCCATCGTCATCGTAAGACTTTAAAGATGAAAATATTTTTTTTCGATTGAAGCAATCAAGTAGGAATGGTTTTGGCATCCCATGCAGCTCGAGTAATAAATATGGTTTTTACCTTGTCTGTAACATCCTTCGTAGTCGAGACTGCTCTATCGTACCCTCATCACACCAGATTACTTCAATACATAAACGGTAACTGAGATCATTTTGTGTCATTCATTTTTTGTGTATTTTCCGCTCAAAAGCCACGAGCACACCTGTGGTGAGATGGCCGCAATCGCAAAACCGCGGCGGTCCCACGCGGCCATGAATCCCAAACCGTCAACGCCTTAAAACAAAGTACTTTCTGCAGATTGGCGCTATAAAGTTCCTTGATAAGTCCATCGCATTCAAAAAAATTAGGCATTCTAAAGTGATAAAAGAGCTACCATAGTCAAAGGCAACATGAAGATCGCCTTTTGCATAAGGTTTGTAAGAACGCCTTAGTAAATATAGAAACTGACATTTTGCCAGGGCAATTAGGAGTCAATACGTCATGTGAAGTGCTCCTCATCTTTGAAGCAGAGCGAATACTGATCGCAGGCCAAACGATCAAGCTGCTTTTCGTAAACTTGAATCGACCTCTACAAAAGGAGAAGACGCTGGCTCGTTGGCACGCACCATTGGAGCGTTCATGAAGAAGTCGTATATGCAGTAGTTTAGGCCCTTTTTCATTCTTTGAGGCAAAATCATATGTCCTTTTCCATCATGTGCTGACCTTTTTCAAAAGCGTTTCTGAGATTAGCCTCCATTTGATCGACGCTTTCTCTCCAAAGGTTATAGGAACACTCTTCAACGATGTTTCGATGCGTCTCCATAGCCAAACGTGTCGCGAGCAGGCGTTTGCCGCTTCCGCTGGCACCGCTCAGTAGCATTGTTAACGGCCTATCATCAACCTGAACATTTCCTTATCAGATCACCCATATGAGGCTTGAAGAAGAAACTGCCTTTAGGCCCCCAGCAAACGATAGACCATGAACAACTTACTGTCTCGTACGCAAGACAGATGCTTCGCATTCGGTCCACCAGCGCCATCAACGGTGCAGGAATATCCAATAACTTCATACGAGCCGCATACGGCAAATGTGCGTTCACACTTGCGATCTCGTAAACGGATGTCGTCATATCCACGATGCATGGCGATTCATTACAGGAGACCTGCAATCACGGTGCATTGGTAACAGCCAGAAGTTTCCATGTCAGGATTTCAAAACAAAGTACTCAAAGACATTTCGCGATAGGCGGGTGAACCGCTACCCTGCTGAGTTGAAGGCAAACTCGGGATTGAACTGGTGGCATCAGCGCTCTGTAGTGATAGTTTAGCTGTGGAACGAGACGAGTTACAGATCTTACAAATTTCCCTCGTGGTATCCCTCTCCTACTAGTCGGGCCAATCCCTGGGTTCGCCATTAAGTTGTTTGAAGTCACAGAGGTTGTGCTATACTTAAAGCTGCAAAAAACGGAATGGGAGTCTTTTACACGAGCAACTTCCCACTCAGTGAATAGTCTAAGTTCTTCTTGAAATAAAGTGTATCGCACAGAAATACACCTTTACGTCGGCGCTCTCGATGAGCCACGCGGTGTGTGTCGAAGCCTGCGAGTAAGAACAAAGCAAACTTGCCAAAGGAAAGGAGAGGGGGGAAGTTCATCTAGGCGACCCGAGCTTTTTCAGAAAGTGATTACATTGCAAATTACAGGGACGCATGCATCGAAAACAAAACCATGTTTCATTTTCGCTGAACAGATTTTGCAGTGCGAAAAAAACAGCTCGACTTCCCATGGTGATGAAATTTGATAAATATATTTCAGGTCAGCGGTCACTCAGGCGACGGGTTCATATACGCCAAATGTCAAAAAAGATGCCATAATCATGGTTAAAACCTATTAAGAACAGTAAGTAAGGCGAACCTAAAATGCCAAGTTTCGTCGCCACAAAGAAACAGAAACTGGTCTTTACTTTTTCTGGTACTACGGAAACCGTTCAGGAGGAGGGCGGATTTGTGGTTCATAGACGCGTCTCTACAATTTGTAAAAAATTTGTTTGAAAAAGAGCGGCTTGTCCTGAACAACCCCTTCGTAAGCGCAGTACACGCGGTTGTCGCACTTTGTAGTAAATTACGTCCCCACTGGAAATTGATCGTCTCCCAAGTAATGGCTACCACTTCCTGTAGAAGCTTGTAATTAAAGACGGATTTTACTATAAAAGGGTTCCTCTTTGGAAATAAGGGTAGAGGTGGTTGAGCAGGGAAGAAGAAGAAATCATGAGAAACGGCTCAGAACCCGAGAAAGGAGATGCCTTCTTTGCCCATTGGTTTCCGCGTTGATGTGACTCTCATCGGTGCTGCCCTCTTCTAGTTAACGCTCTCTCTGCTATCTAACCAGTCGCGGCTAGAGACCTGTGGCGAGTGATTAGATAGTCGTTGGGCGTTCCTACCAGTTGCACCAAAGGGAAGGCCATGTAGATAGCCGGGTTTCTCGATGCAAATTGCGTGGGAGAGGGGGTTGGTCTGTCCACTAGGTAAGTTTCCCCTTGTTCGACCCTCAATCTTATCGTAGGATCCTCTTTGATTATGAAGTAACAGAAAGCAACAAGACCTTGGCTGTGTAATTGAACCCACGGTGAAAATAGGTTATTTCACTGAAACAAAACATCAACAAGAGAGGAAGCTCATCCAATTGCAAATAGTTTCTTCGCATTACGCACCTTTACAGGGCGGTTGCACTAGCGAACCACTTCTTAGACCTCCCTCCTATCTCACTGAAGAACGCGGTAGCCCGCACTCAACTGAGCTGCGAAGATGAGCTTTACAACTGTGCTTACCTTGAAGTAATGCCGAGACACCTTCTGTGTGAATATGTTCCGGAATATGTATGGAAATCACGTCGTCCTTGTACATTATCCTGAAATTTTGGAAGTAGTGATGACACGTCAACATAGACTTCCTGAAAAATCGCATTTCTACCCCCTAGGCGGGCAGCTCACATTTAGGATCGAGATCCTTCTAGAGATGGCAATGGTGACGTTTTGGTTGCATAAATCACTGGCCCCGCCACAATCACAAGCCTTGAGTTCAATTAGTGCTTAGCTTCATGCGGTTTTTCCGCCTCAGAAGCCATCTAAATGTAGTCGACTCGCTAGAAAGGACTGTTGTGAGCTGCAAATTGGTCAGTGCCGTAGTTCATTTCATAACAATGATCAGCGGTCAGCAGATTTTTTACTCACTTGAGCCTTTCAACGAGACCGTGCAGCAATTACGGTTGCCGGCAGCATACTTATTTTAAAATTCGAAAAAAACTAATCCTTTTGGAAAGAGAGCGCT